GGGTGACTGAGGGGAGCTGGGTGACTGAGGGGTACAGGGTGACTGAGGGGAGCTAGGTGACTGAGGGGAGCTGGGTGAGGGGAGCAGGGTGACTGAGGGGTGCTCGGTGACTGAAGGGAGCTGGGTGACTGAGGGGTGCAGGGTGACTGAGGGGAGCTGGGTGACTGAAGGGAGCAGGGTGACTGAGGGGTGCTCGGTGATGAGGGGTGCAGGCGTCTGTTGGGTCCACTCTCTCCTCCTGCATCACTTGACCCACACCATCCAGGATGGTACTGGGGGCACTTCCCGTGTGGCCTGGCCAGCTGGATATGCAGTTCCTCTTTGAATTGAGTTGAAGCTGTTCCTGGGACTGAGGTTCCTGGGTGGGCTGCACAGCCGGGCCTCATGTTACAGCTCTGACAGAAGTGAGCAGGCGCACGTGAGCCCTGAGCCTGGGACGGGCTTGCTTCCTGGAGTCCAGCCTGGCTGGACTTCCCAGAGCCTGTCCACCTGCTGGGGGCCCCTCCAACTCAACACTAGGAGGAAACATTCTCAGGTTCTGAAGCTGCTCAGAACAGTGGGGAGCGAGGTCCTGCTCCTTCACCTAGAGCCCCCCACTCAGTGGGCTTCTGGCCTCGCCCATAGACTGCCCTGTCAGAGGATGGTCTGTGGGGTGCGAAGTGCTGACGTGCACGCGGTGAGCAGCAATCAGGCGCCCCTCAGTCTGGGTGTGTGAATGGCTCCTCCACACACAAGCCGCTGAGGTTGGTGCGTCTCCAGGGAGTATCTGATGCGCTCGAGCCTCAGGCCAGGTGCCCACCTCACTGCGTCTTGGTGATTTTCCTCCTCTGTCACGGGGCTCGGGGTACCTGCAGGTTCCCCCATGTCCCCGCTGGTCACCTTCTTCATTGATGAGTACCTTGGGGACAAGTCTGAGTGTCCTGCCCTCCTCACCGTGCCCCCACTAGTTTGCATCTGTTGGGGATTCTTCCTGGGAGTGAGCGGCGGCTGTGGTGACCTCCAGGTGGGCTCTGTTCTCTACACGGCACAGTGGGCCCAATGGTGAGCTGCTCCTTGCTGCACGCTCATTTGGAGGCAGATGGACTCTCTGGAGGTGGTTTTGTTCCGTGGGCCACAGTCCATTACTGTTGTTTTTGTCCACTTGTCTGAGACCTTGCCTTTTGGATGCTGTGCTAGCCTCCAGGCTGCGGGGCTTGCACACAGGACAGCCCCCACCTCCTTCTGCCCTTCAGGTGTCCAGTCAGCGGCCGTCAATGTCATCTGCGAGCTGGCCAGGCGCAACCCCAAAAACTACCTGTCCCTGGCTCCGCTCTTCTTCAAGCTCATGACATCGTCAACTAACAACTGGGTCCTCATCAAAATCATCAAATTGGCAAGTGGTGTCCTGCACCTGTCCTTTCTATCACTGCTGGGGAAGGGGCTCAGCAGGGCCTGCGAACACATGGTGTGGACACTGCAGTGTGGGGTCAGGGACACCAGTGTGGAGTGGACACCGTGGTGTGGGGTCAGGGTCACCAGTGTGGTGTGGACACTGTGATGTGGGATCAGGGTCACCAGTGTGGAGTGGACGCTGCGGTGTGGGGTCAGGGACACCAATGTGGAGTGGACGCTATGGTGTGGGGTCAGGCTCACCAGTGTGGAGTGGATGCTGCGGTGTGGGGTCAGGGACACCAGTGTGGAGTGGACATTGTGGTGTGGGGTCAGGCTCACCCGTGTGGAGTGGAAGCTGCGGTGTGGGGTCAGGATCGCCAGTGTGGAGTGGACACTGCGGTGTGGGGTCAGGCTCACCAGTGTGGAGTGGACATTGTGGTGTGGGGTCAGGCTCACCCGTGTGGAGTGGATGCTGCGGTGTGGGGTCAGGGACACCAGTGTGGAGTGGATGCTGCGGTGTGGGGTCAGGGACACCAATGTGGAGTGGAAGCTGCGGTGTGGGGTCAGGATTGCCAGTGTGGAGTGGACACTGCAGTGTGGGGTCAGGCTCACAGTGTGGAGTGGACACTGCGGTGTGGGGTCAGGGTCATCAGTGTGGAGTGGACACTGGTGTGGGGTCAGGGACACCAGTGTGGAGTGGACACTGTGGTGTGGAGTCGTGGACACTGTGATGTGGGGTCAGGCTTACCAGTGTGGAGTGGACACTGTGTTGTGTACGCTGCGGTGTAGGGTCAGGGTCACCAGTGTGGAGTGGACACTGGTGTGGTGTGGTGTGGTTTGGACGCTGCGGTGTGGGGTCAGGGACACCAGTGTGGAGTGGATGCTGCAGTGTGGGGTCAGGGTCACCAGTGTGGAATGGACGCTGTGGTGTGGGGTCAGGGACACCATTGTGGAGTGGACACCGTGGTGTGGGGTCAGGGTCACCAGTGTGGTGTGGACACTGCGATGTGGGGTAAGGCTTGCCAGTGTGGAGTGGACACTGTGGTGTGGGGTCAGGCTTACCAGTGTGGAGTGGATGCTGCGGTGTGGGGTCAGGCTCACCAGTGTGGAGTGGATGCTGTGGTGTGGGGTCAGGGACACCATTGTGGAGTGGACACTGTGGTGTGGTGTCAGGATCGCCAGTGTGGAGTGGATGCTGCTGTGTGGGGTCAGGCTCGCCAGTGTGGAGTGGACACCGTGGTGTGGGGTCAGGGTCACCAGTGTGGTGTGGACATTGTGGTGTGGGGTCAGGCTCACCAGTGTGGAGTGGACGCTGAGGTGGGGTCAGGGTCAACAGTGTGGAGTGGACGCTACCTTGTGGGTCACGGACACCAGTGTGGAGTGGACACTGTGGTGTGGGGCAGGGTCACCAGTGTGGTGTGGACACTGATGTGGAGCCAGGCTTACCAGTGTGGAGTGGACACTGTGGTGTGGGGTCAGGGTCACCAGTGTGGAGTGGACACTGGTGTGGGGTCAGGCTTACCAGTGTGGAGTGGACACTGTGGTGTGGGGTCAGGGTCACCAGTGTGGAGTGGACACTGTGGTGTGGGGTCAGGGTCACCAGTGTGGAGTGGACGCTGTGGTGTGGGGTCAGGCTCACCAGTGTGGAGTGGACGCTGTGGTGTGGGGTCAGGGTCACCAGTGTGGAGTGGACGCTGTAGTGTGGGGTCAGGGTCATCAGTGTGGAGTAGACACTGTGGTGTGGGGTCAGGGTCATCAGTGTGGAGTGGACACTGTGGTGTGGGGTCAGGGTCACCAGCTTGATGACAGAAGACCCCTTTCAGTGTCACTTCTGCACATACACTTCTACATAGTTGTGGGGAGACGTACCGTGAATGTGGCCCGTTGGGCCATTTCTAAGTGCACGACTCCACAGTGTTAATTACACCCAGACGCTATAGCCACCACTGCTGCGTAGTCCACCACACTCTCATCACCTCACAGAGACCGTCCCCAGGCCTCCCTGGTGAGCATTAGTGCGGTTAGTCCATGGAGTCGGGACTGAGTGTCCCCACAGGATGGCAGCGTTAGCTCTGTTCACAGTCCTGCAGTGAGCATTGGAGGTCGGCTCCCCCTGACTCACTCCTTCCCACTTGTGCAGTTTGGTGCTCTGACCCCGCTAGAACCAAGGCTGGGCAAGAAGCTGATCGAGCCCCTCACCAACTTAATCCACAGGTGAGTGCAGCCCTCCAGGGTATGTGGTCATTTGCACCTGCCAACTGCAACGCTGGGCAGGTGCTGGACACCCCCGGTGAGAGCCCTGGTCAGGAGTGGTGTGGCTGATGTGGGGGGAAGGTACGGGCATCACCTGGTAGATACCTCTCAAGGGAAGCACACAGCTTGCTGCCTTCCAGCCCTGGCCTCTGGCATCGGGCCTCGTAGATTTAACTCCATTTCTAAGATAGCAGTAGCAAGAGCATGAGAGCCCCGGACACAGTGTCTTGCCGTGCCGAGAGGCACTCGCGGTGGCACCAGCCACTCTGATGGATGTGACAGCTTCTAGAGCAGGAGGCGTGGTTCCCAACCCGTGGGGCAAGGCCCTTGGCCTTATCCTCAGGAATCCCCGGGCCCTGATACGACCTCCACACGTTAGGGTGCCAAACACTGCCCTTTTGGAAGTGGGACCTCAATAGCAGAGCATGATATGGGGACACGGGCTAGTCTCCTTGGAGCAGAGCCCTCTTGTGGGGTCCTGGCTTGATTCTGGGACATGGAGACACCGTCCTCCTCTCTCTTCCCCTCTCCAGCACATCTGCCATGTCCCTGCTCTACGAGTGTGTGAACACGGTGATCGCAGGTGAGAGCCTCCACGTGGGGGGGGGGGGGGGGGCGTCAGGGGACTGGGCCTGTCATGGTGGTCCCGGGCTCCGGAGTCTCTGAGGCAGCTCCTACTTGTGCCCCATGCGCCGTGACATCATCACAGTACAGCACAGTATTCCGTCACCCTCCAGCCACACTCCCACTTTCTCCCGAGTGTTCGGAGGCCAGGACCTCCTGAGGCAGCATCAGAGCGCCCCCCATCCCAGCAGGGTGTCCCAGAGGGATTCAGACAATCTCTGTGGAAGTCCCATGCCTCGTCCAAAAACTCACCCAGAAAGGTAAGCCTCAGAACAGCCAAAACAGTGTTTCAGAAGAAGAGAGAAGTTCAGAGCTGACGGTAAAGCTGCAGGAAAGGTCACATGTGGTCCTGGCCTCGTTGTGGGCATAGAGCCGAGCAGAATGGAGTAGAGTGTGCAGAAGTCATTCCCGCATTCGCCATCCACAATGCTTCCAGGAGGGCTCAGTGGCCAGCACAGTCTCCTGGACAAATGGTGCTGGCAAGATGACATCGCCACGTCCCAAGAGGAAGGCAGGCAGACCTGCCTCACAGCCAGCTGTACAGAGATGGAGAAGCTGTAAGATGCTGGGCCTACTTAGATACAATACCAAAAGCACAGCCAACGGAAGAAAACTAGATCAGCGGGACTTACTGAAAAGGACTGGTTTCATAGGACACCATTGCAAAAGTGGAAAGACCCCTGTGGGACAGGGACGCATTCAAGCCCCTCAGCAGGTGGCTGGTGCCGTTGGCTCTGAGGCTACAGCTCCTGACCAGTGGCTGATGCCTGGAACCACTGACCGTGTGGTTAGTAGTCCAGTGATTACCTTACCGAGTCCCAGTGCTCATGATAAGGGATTAATGTGAATATATAAAGAACTCCAACTCAACCACAAAACAGGCCAGTTGAAGAGTGCACAGAGGACACACGGGATGAGCGACAATTACAGGAACTGACGTCAGCGGTGTGACCATTGTCGGTAGTGCCATGTACCATCATGCCACTATTGTTATGTGGGGACCCATTGCTGGAGCCACTGCGGCAGTCTCGTTGAGGGTGGTCTTCTTTCCTGCTGACCCTCCACTCCTGAAAACATGTCCAGGATCTGAGAGTTGAAGTCTCCCCATCCGGGCCTCTCAGGAGCATGAACCATGAAGAAGACAGAAATCCAAACCCCAGGGAGCTAGCCCTTCACCCCCACTGTGGTGGCTCTGGGCAGAACAATGGAAAACCCCAGTGAGGATGAGGGTGTAAAAGTAGAACCTGCTGCGTCTGGCCCCACCACGGTGGAGAGCAGGTTGGTGCTTCCTGACAACGACAGTTTGATTCTGACTCCTGGGGAGCCCCGTGTCTCCGAGTAGATCTTCACTGAAGGGCACTGCCACGCCTTTCTTCTGAGGTACTTCCAGGTGTCTAGTAATGGTACAACGGCGGTTCATTGTTGCGTCCCTCCCACTGGACAAGGCTCCGTGTCCCTGGTGGGCACAGTGGATTAGCATCTGGCCGTGGTCCCGGCAGCTCATTAACCTGAGTGTCCTATCTGTTTCAGTCCTTATCTCCCTGTCCTCTGGCATGCCCAACCACAGCGCCAGCATCCAGGTACGAGAACCCCTGTCTCAGACTTCCTGCCTCCCCACTGAAGGAGGTGCCAGCCCTCCCCTGCACCTCATCATTAGTCCCCAACCCCCCAGTATCCGAGCTCCAAAGACAGGCCAGCTGCTCGTGTGGTGTCCTCCCAGCCCCCGCAGGTCCTGCACAGCTCTCTCCCTGGGGCTTGGTCCCAGCAGCTAACCTCCTGCTGCTCTGGCCCTCTGCTCCTTCCCACCCCCACCCCACCCTGCCCCAGCTGGGCCTCTGGGTCTCCCTGCTGTCCCCGCCGTGGTAGGTTCCCTTTGAGGCAACTCCTGTCTCCCTTGCAGACATAGGTGCTCCCGGAGCACTGCTGTTGGGGAGTCCTTGGTGTCCTTCCCCTTTTGCCACCCCCTCATGCTGGAGCATTTAGGACAGATGCTCCTTAGGGCTGAGTTTGCCCAGCAGTGGTGCTTTCAACAGCTGTGATTCCCGCTGTGATCCTGGCCAGGGTCTGGGGCACATGTGTGTCCAGGCTGGTGTTCATTTAGCTTTCTCCCACAGCTTTGTGTCCAGAAGTTGCGGATATTAATAGAAGACTCCGATCAGAACTGTAAGTGTTTCTCACCCTTCCAGATCCTCTGGGTTTGGCGTCCAAAACCTCGCTGAAAACACTCTTTCAGGTGTAAGAAGAAAGCTGACATTGGTGTTGTCCAGGTGGACACTAGCTTCAGAGGTCGCTTAGGCAGCAACCCCCGCCCCCTTTGTGACAGGCCCCTTTCTTGTGGGGCTTCCCTGTCCCGTGAGGAGGAGGGGTGTGGGTGTGCATGGTACAGCCGTTCTGGGGCGATGCTGCAAGACCCATGAATGTCCTATGGGGATCACACGAAGACAAAAATGTAGGCCCGGTGCATACACTGCCTCCTGGCAGGTCTGCGAACAGGAAGTGACCATGCTGTCAACTGCTCACTACACCTGCCCGTGTCTGTTTTCAGACGGGGGCTCTGTTGGGACATCGAAGGTTGGGGCCATGGGCCTGCTTGTGTGTGTCCACCTCTGTGTGGGGGGCAGGATCAGCCAGCTTTTCCTAGAATGGGTCAGCTGTGAATGCATTTCATAGGTCTCCCCGTCTCTGTCCCTACTCTCCGCTGCCAGAGAAGCCAGCTGGATGTATGGGCATAGCTGAGTGCCAGGAGACCTTGTGGGTGGGTTGGATTTGCTGAGCCATCGAAATGGTATTGACGGCATCAGACAGCAGTTGGCTTTGGCCGGGGCCATGGTGCGCTGTCTCCGACTCCGTGTCCTTTGGTTGGGGCCATGGTACGCTGTCGCTGACTTTGTGTCCTTTGGGTTAGCATTCTTTGTAGACAGTGGTGAGGCATCCTTCCGCACCATCCAGAGTGCCTTTCATGCCCACTGCCGCCCAGAATGCTGTGAGAGGAGCCCCCTCTTCTGACCCAGGACCAGGCTGCTCCCTCCACAGTGGTTACTGGGGTGGAGGGGGGTGATTGTGCTGGTGTGAGGCCCTTGGTTCATCGTAGAACCAGTGTGGTTCTGGACCCCAAGCAGCCTCCCAGCACCTCGCATTGTCCACAGTGAAGTACCTGGGCCTGCTGGCCATGTCCAAGATCCTGAAGACGCACCCCAAGTCCGTCCAATCCCACAAGGACCTCATCCTGCAGTGTCTGGATGACAAGGACGAGTCCATCCGACTGCGAGCCCTTGACCTGCTCTATGGCATGGTGCGTGCTCTGCTCTCTCCTGGGAGCTGCCCTTAGTTCTGTGAGTGGAGGACGTGAGTTCAAGACCCCGTGGACCCTCACAGATGTGAGGGGTGTACTGTCTTCCATCCTATCACCCATGTGGGTTTCTGGTGCTGGTGAGCGTGTTGTAGTGCACGTGGCAGGCTGGGTTTGACATCCCGGAGGGTACCAGCACAGGGTGTTTGATGGTGCGTCTGGCTGATGCCCTGTTCCCTGCACAGACCCCAGTGAATGGTGCAGGATGGGATTGCTTCCTTGTAGATTAGCATCTCGTGGTCTGTCTGGGGAAATCGGCGTTCTAGGGATTTATGATGGGGTGCAGCGCCTGCCTCCGCATCCCTGGCTTGGAGGATGGGTGGGGCACTGCCAGACTCCTCCCGCTCACCGGCCACCCCCCAGGTGTCCAAGAAGAACTTGATGGAGATTGTGAAAAAGCTGATGACCCACGTGGACAAGGCTGAGGGCACCACCTACCGCGACGAGCTCCTCACAAAGATCATCGACATCTGTAGCCAGTCCAACTACCAGTACATCACCAACTTTGAGTGGTGCGTCCTGGTCCCCACGCCGTAGCCCTCCTGGAGTGGGCAACACCCTCCTCACGCCGTGTACTCTAGCATAGAGTGTCGTGTCCGTGTTTCTAAACACACGTCTCTTTACGGGGCAGCTTTGGGTTTACAGAACAATGGTGCCGGACCGACACAGCTCCTTTAACCCTGGAGTTCGGCACCACGTCCCCGTCACTAGCCCCTCGCTCAGTGTGGTGTATCTGGTGAAACTGCCACAGCAGTCTCAGTGTAGCGTCACTTAGTGCAGCGAATCTGGCACATGGCAGTCTGGTTCCCAGCGACACTGAGGGAGATAGCTGAGCCTTTCTCCTCAGACTCCCAGATTTTGTCCACAGCAAGGTTCCCTGGTGCCCCCATCACACACGTTCCCACACACAGCCCCATTTGTGTTCGTTTGTTTCTCAAGTGTGAAGGGGGAGGCCTGCCCATGTGGCTGGCGGCTCTCGATAGCTCCTGCTGCCCCGCTCAGGTATATCAGCATCCTGGTGGAGCTGACGCGGCTGGAGGGTACACGGCACGGCCACCTCATCGCGGCCCAGATGTTGGACGTGGCCATCCGCGTGAAGGCCATTCGCAAGTTCGCCGTGTCGCAGATGTCAGCTCTCCTAGACAGCGCTCACCTGGTTGCCAGCAACACCCAGCGCAATGGCATCTGCGAGGTGCTCTACGCTGCCGCCTGGATCTGTGGGGAGTTCTCGGAGTGAGTGTGGGCTCACGGGGCTGGGGGTCCTGGCGAGCATTTCCCCCAGTGTCCTGCCTGCCCTGGCCTGTCCTCGGTGCTCTGGGCTCACTTGCCTTCTGTTCGCAGACATCTGCAGGAGCCCCAGCTGACACTCGAGGCCATGCTTCGGCCCAAGGTCACCACGCTGCCCGGCCACATCCAGGCCGTGTACGTACAGAATGTGCTCAAGCTGTACGCTGCCGTCCTGCAGCAGCGCGAGCGCACGGGGACACTGCAGGCCGCCCAGGCTGCCACCCAGCTGCTGGTGGACAGGCTGCCCCAGTTCGTGCAGAGTGCTGACCTGGAGGTCCAGGAGCGGGTGAGGGGCAGCACGGAGCTTTCCCTTGGACACCCTTAGGTGCACTGCCCCATAGTCTTTAGGGTGGGATAGTGCCCCCTGACTTTCCCTAAATCCCCTGGGCAGGGCTAGGAGCCTGGCCTCCTCAACTGTGACCCTGCTGTCCCGCAGGCATCCTGCATCCTGCAGTTGGTCAAGTACATCCAGAAGCTGCAGGCTAAGGATGTACCCGTGGCGGAGGAAGTGAGCGCCCTCTTTGCTGGGGAGCTGAATCCGGTGGCCCCCAAAGCCCAGAAGAAGGTCCCCGTCCCAGAGGGGTGAGCCTGTGGGGCCGCCCACACGGTCATCTGGTGTCCACTCCATCTTCAGAGCTTCTGAGTGCATAGACGCCATGGTGTGATGGAAGGGAGGTGGGAGGGCCATGGGCCGGGGGGTACCTAGCTGGTGGCCTTGGGCAGGTGTCTTGTGGGGGATGATGGACTGCAGGGCCAGCCGGAGCCCGAGTGAGACCAGCCTGTGACCCCCAGCCTGGACCTGGATGCCTGGATCAATGAGCCGCCCTCTGACAGTGAGTCAGAGGATGAGGCACCCAAGGCCATCTTCCACGAGGATGAGCAGAAACCCACGCGGCCCCGGCAGCCCGAGGTGGACGAGGAGGAGTTGGCCCGGGTGAGCGTCACGGTGGGCACTTGCAGGATTCTCCTCACACTCCCCTCCGCCAGGACCGGGAGGGGTTGTCGGCTGGGCTCCAGGACCGCTCTGTGGGGGCCTGTTCCCCTCCAGGGTGTGCTCAGCAGGCCTTCAGTGGCCAGCCTGTTTCTGTACCTTGAGATTCCATCACATACTCACAGGGGTGCCCTGCCTGGGGGCTCCTCACTTGCCCTCATGCTAGGTGCAGGCTCTGGTGAGACAGAGTGTCTCCAAGCACATACAAGTCCTCGAAGGGAGGGCCTCCCCACGTCCCCGGGCCCAGAGTGTGCACGTGTTTCTGCCCACTGCTCTCCTATGGTTGCCTCCCTTCTCTATGAGGAAGGGCTTGATGGCAGCCTGTCCCTGAAGAGGTGACCCTGGGCCCTGGGACTGGTCAGCCTGGCAGGCCTGCAGCTCTTCCGAGGGCTGGACAGCTCCAGACTGCCTTCCCTTGCTCACTGCCCTCAGCGTCCCAGCACGGCCCTGCGGCCGTTGGCTGACGTGGGCACCACTCTCCCCTTGTAGCGTCGGGAAGCCCGCAAGCAGGAGCAGGCAAACAACCCATTCTACATCAAGAGCTCGCCGTCCCCACAGAAGGTCAGGGTGCCCCTCCCCACGGCCCTGGGCCCTCCTCAGGTGGCCAGCACAGTGGCCACAGTAACCCCTGGACTTGGTCCCCAGCGCTACCAGGACGCGCCCGGAGTGGAGCACATCCCCGTGGTCCAGATCGATCTCTCTGTGCCCTTGAAAGTCCCTGGTAAGTGTGTGAGTGGGGTCCACTGCTACAGGGCCCCCATCTGTCTGTCCACCTGCCCCAGCAGCCCCAAGCTGAGCATCTGCCCCACAGGGATGCCCGCATCAGACCAGTATGTGAAGCTAGAGCAGGAACGGCGGCACCGGCAGCGACTGGAGAAGGACCGGAAGCGGAAAAAGCAGCGGAAGGAGAAGCGGCGTGAAGGCCACCATCGGCGTCACAGCTCACTACACACGGAGAGCGACGAGGACATCGCCCCCGCCCAGCAGGTGGACATCGTCACCGAGGAGATGCCTGAGGTACGACCTGCGAGCCCCCTGAGGTGGGCCTGTAGGTGGGGCCCTGACGTTGAGCTCTCCCTCTCTCCCTCCCGTCCTCCCCACAGAATGCTCTGCCCAGTGACGAAGACGACAAAGACCCTAATGACCCCTACAGGGCCTTGGACATTGACCTGGACAAGTGAGTTGGGCCAGCGGCTGTTCGGGGAGGGCAGAGCTGGGCATGAGGACCGTCACGGACAAGCTGTCCAGTGTTCCCGGCTGCTTCCCACAGCCTCTTTGGCACCCCTCCGTGGTCACTCCTAGGCCTGAGACCCCCATGTGGGCACTGGACTTTGTCTGGTGCTGGGGGTCTAGTGAGGGTGTGGGCGTCAGAAAGTGGCTTGCAGGATGGGCAGTCATGACCTGTCAGGGCACTGGAACCTTGGGTGGGTTCTTCTGGGGAAGGGCCACCTGTCTTTGTGACTTGTTCTCCGGGAGTATTTGACTGACTGACCTGTTTTCAAGCACTCCACATCCTGTGGGGCTGAGGTGGGACTCACTCCGTGGTCTGTCCCTGGGCATGTATGTACCTGGTGTGCATTGAGCCCTAATGGTGCCAGCAGAGAGGAACTGTCACCCGTGGGAGCCCCCCTTCAGCCTGTGTCCTGTTCTTTCGGGGCAAGGGTACGGCGGGATGCTTGCATGTGGTTCTGCGGGCTGCTGATGGCAACTGTCATTACAGCGACCCTGTGCCCCCTTTTTATAAGGGGCTCTGGCGATGCAGCTGTTAACTGCAGGTGGGCCATGGCAGTCTGCTCCCCTAAAGGCTACAGCCCAGGGAACCCAGTGGGGCTGCATCCAGCAGCACCGCCCCCCCACCGGCTTGGGGGGCACGAGGCACGTTGGGCCCATTGTGCCTGGGATGCTGGGGCTGCCTCTCCACCCGGTGGGCCCTTGCACCTTCACTAGGGGTTCTGTGCACCCCGCTGAGCAGTGAAGCTGGGTGCTAGCTCTGGTCACCCACCTAGCATGGCAGGGTCTCTCATCTCACTGCTGTGGTCCTGCTGACCTTGGAGTCGTCAGCGTCCCGGCACTCCCATGTCCTATGTCACCCGCTTTCTCACCGTGCGCTCTGTCCTTACCCTCCTCCTCTTCCTCTCTCCTGTGTCCTCCCTGCCTCTCCCTGTCTCTGCGGCCCATCTGTGTGTCTCCCCGTCTCTGCGGCCGTCTTGTATGTCTCCCCATCTCTGCGGCCCGTCTGTGTGTCTGTGGCTCAGTCTGGTGTCAGGGAAACCTCACAGGTAAGCTGAGCCCTCACCTGCAGACCCTTTCATAGGACGGCACTTTGTATCCAAATTGTGCTGCCCAGAGGGCCAGCTGAGGGCCAGCGGACTGGGCCCGGGGCTGTGGGTGCCTGGGGCGTGCTGGGAAGGGATCCAGCTACATCCACAATGTGCCAGGCTGCCAGGAGAGACCACAGACCTTGGCTCCTGCTGATGTGGGGGCCGTGGGCAAGAGCCAGCCTGGAGGCCAGGGCTGAGTGGGAGTGTTATGCTGCACGCCTTCAAGATGGGCCTGTGCCCGGCCCTAGCCTAAGGGATGTGTGTGTCTGTCCCCGTGTGTCCATCTCGAGCTGTCTGCCCTTCTGTCCCAGGCCAGGCACTTGGAGGAGCAGCGTTCCTTGAGACCAAAGCTCAGTCTGTGACCCGGGGGCGGGGGTCTGCCACAGACCCCCGCCCCCATGTCACACACACTCAGCACCTGTGCCCCCCCATCCTCCCCAGACCCTTAGCTGACAGTGAGAAGCTGCCTGTCCAGAAACACCGGAACGCCGAGAGCCCGCAGTCCCCTGACAAGGAGGCCGTGCCTGGGGCAGAGAAGAAGAGCAAGAAGCTGAAGAAGAAGGACACAAAGCAGCACCGGGAGAAGGAGCGGAGGAAGGGGAAGGGGAAGGGGAAGGGGAAGGCCGAGGACCTGGACTTCTGGCTGTCCACCACACCGCCACCAGCCGCTGCCCCGGGCCCCTCACCGTCTCCGGTAAGAGCCTGACAGGCCTTCAGTGGTGTCCAGGGCTCCAGCTCCGTGTGTAGTAGCCGTGGTGTTGGTCAGGGCTGGCCCAGTTAGTGATCCTTTCCTGATTGTCCCCATTGCCCACACCCTGACCGTCCGATGCTAAGAGACAGATGTCCATCCAGCCCCTCTGCAGCCTGGATGAGCCCCGAGCAGTGGCAACCATCTCCACTCCTGTCTGCTCGCAGGGTGAGCCTGGGACAGACTCCGCCGTTGCTGCCCCCGATGAAGAGTATGAGGAGCCCACGAGGGAAGGCCTCGAGCATGAAGAGGATGAAGAGCAGGAGCTGGAGAAGGTGGGGCCGGGGACCAGCATGCCTGCCGAGGGGGGTATGCACAGGCTGCCCTCTCCTTTAACATCTCATAACGTCCGCCTTTGAAAGTGTTCAGGGGTTTTCAGCATCGTCCCCACTGTCTAATTCCACAAGGTTCCCCCCTTACCTGAAAAGAAACCTTGTGCTCGTGAGCAGTAACTTCCTCCCGCAGTTACGTCTGTGAAGAACACCCATCCACGTAGTCTGTGGATGGGCCCATCCAGACACCCGGGAGAAACGGGAGCAGACAGCATGGACCCTTTTGCGTATGGCTCTTAGTGTGGTGTTTTCAAGGCTGACCTGCTTCCTAACAGGTGTCCGGACTTCATGTTTCCTGGCTGAGTGATGTTTCACTGTGAGGCAGGGCCACATGGTGGCTGTCCATCACCCACGATGGACAGGTTTCTGCTTCCCCGAATGTGCAGCAGTCTGTCTGCTGTGTCCCGCTCTCACGTGGCGTGGTACACATCTAGGAGCAGATTGCTAGATTTGGTGACAGTCTCATCTTCATCCCTTGCACCTTGGCTCCAGTCTTCAGAGATCCTCTGAGCAGCTGGCCCCTCCCTCAGCAGGACTCTGCCTGTCCCATTTCCCTCTCCTGCGCACAGTGGCAAAGGCGCTGCTGCCCTACCCCCGGGCTGTCAGCTCCCCTTTTGTTCCAGAAGTCTTCCAAGCATAAGAAGAAGAAACACAAGAAGGAGAAGGAAGAGGAGGCCAAAGACAAGAGGAAGGCCCGGAGGAGAAAGGCCCCCAGTGAGGAGGTGGCTGAGGAGCCCGTGCACAACGGCACACTGGACGGGGAACCTCTCCCGGTGAGGGCCCGGCCCACACACATTTCCATGGGCCAGGCTGTTCTGAGCGGTGCCTCCTGGTACCTGCTGTATTGGGGACAGTTGGCAGTAGCCACTCCTGTCCCTCAGCACCAACGCCCCCCTTCTCCTTCTCCCCAGCCCTTGTCCAGCTACTGCCTTCTCGCCGAGGACACCTATATTAAGATGGTGAGCCACTCACTCACTGCAGCTTCCTGCCAACGCAGAGGAGCATGGGGGTCCCCTGGGATAGTATCGGGGTGGCAGGGGCGTTACCATGGCATCCTGACCCAGCCACAAGTCTGGTAGAGGAGAGCAGTTTGCTGTAGGGCTCTGTGTGTTTTAAGGACAGACAGATGGACAGTGAGTGGTGCTCCTGACACACAGCCCACATGCTCCTCTCAGTGTTTACGAACTCCCTTTTCGCCCACTCGGCCTCTGCAGACGTATGACGTGCAGAGCAGTCTGCAGAAGGACAGTCAGGTCACCGTGTCTGTCATCCTCGAGAACCTCAGCCGCAGCTTCCTCAAGAGCATGGAGCTCAACGTGCTGGACTCGCTTAACACCAAGATGGCGCGACCTGAGGGTGCCTCCGTGCACGACGGGGTCCCTGTGCCCTTCCAGCTGCCCCCAGGGGTCTCCAATGAAGCGCAGTTCGTGTTCACGGTGCAGAGCATCGCCATGGCCCAGAAGCTCAAAGGCACGCTGTCCTTCATCGCCAAGGTGAGCTGCGTGGGGGGGGGGCGCTGTCTGGGAAGGCAGCAGGGGTTTCTGTTCTTGGGGGCCCTGGGCCACCCCACCACCGCCCACTCTTCTTGCAGAATGACCAGGGCTCCACCCACGAGAAGCTGGACTTCAAGCTGCACTTCAGCTGTTCGTCCTACCTGATCACCACGCCTTGCTCCAGGTGAGCCCCTGGGGTGGGAGTGGGGGGCTGTCCAGAGAGTCTGAAGTCCTAGTGCGCCTGCTGTGGGAGGCCCTTCTTGTCCAAGTCAGGGCCCTGGGTCACCCGCGTCCATGTCCTCCCCACAGCGATGCCTTTGCCAAGCTGCTGGAGTCTGGGGACCTGAGCATGAGCTCCATCCGAGTTGGCAGCATCACCACGTCCTTCCAGAACCTTCTAGCAAAGATCTGTTTCCACCACCATTTTTCTGGTATGGGCTTTAGTTCAGCTGAAGGGTTGTCTAGTCTCATTACACTCCTGAACCCACAGCTTCCCCCTGGCTGAGGACGGTGCCCAGGGTCTGGACCTCAGCCGTCTGCCCTTGTGTGTTGCAGTTGTGGAGCGGGTGGACTCTTGTGCCTCCATGTATAGCCGCTCCGTCCAGGGCCACCACATCTGCCTGCTGGTCAAACAGGTGAGCGCCCCTGCAGTCAGCTGGTCACCAGGAACCTCGCGCTCGGTCTGCACTTCTCAGCAGTTGGGTTATGCTGTGTTTGAGCACAAATTGCTTGGGTTCATCCTACTTGGAGTTTGCTAAGCTTAGCGTAGTGGTTACGAATCGGGCTGCTAACATCAAGGTTGGCAGTTTGAAATTATCGACCGTTCCGCAGGAGAAAGATGAGGCTTTCTGCTCCCGTAAAGATTTACAGCCTGGGAAACCCTGTACAGGGTCACTATGAGTCAGAACCGACTCCATGGTACTTAACAACAACAAACCTTCTTGAGGAGTCCTGGTGTGGCGCTGTGGGCTAAGGCGTCAGACTGCAAAATGGTTTGAACTGCAAGGTCGGTGGTTCCATCTCACCAGCTGCTGCTTGGAAACCCTATGCCGGGTTGCTATGGGTCAGAATTGACTCGATGGCACTTAACAACAAAGCTATTAGAATCTAGTATGTTTACATGTTTTGCAAAATTTGAGAACTTTTCTGTGATGAATACCTTATGTGCTTCACAGGACTGACTGACTGTCTCTTTCTGGGGTTCCAGTGACCTTTTGTCACTGCTGGTCATGTCTCTGACTGAGGTGCTGCCCCCCGCCCCCATCTGTTGTGTTCTTGGTGATTTCTGTTGCTGTGTGGTCAAGGTCCTGAACTCTTTCGTCTTACGCTTTCTGTTGGTTGTAAGATCTCCATTTGGCTTTTCTTGTCTTCTGGTTTGCTGCCGAGTTTCAGTTATCCTGTTCACATCCAAAGTGTTCTTGGTTGCTTGTTAAAGCATGTTTGTAGTCACTGTTGTAAAGCCTTTGCCGGACAATCCCAACATCTGTTTCATCTTGGACTTGCTGTCTACATTCTCTTTTTATGAGAGTTGAGACTTTCTGGTCTTTGTATGTATGGGACTCTGGTGGTGCAGTGGGTTAAGCATGGGCCTGCGAATTGCAGGGTTGTCAGTTCAAACCCCTAGGTGCTCTCCATTGGAGACAGATGCAGCTGTCTGGGGAGCCTGTGGCACAGCCCCCCTCCACCCTCCAGGGTCACTGAGTCAGTGACCTTCTAGCACGCAGAGCCGTTCTCGGTTGGCTCTAGGCTGTAGAGCGCTGTGGAGACAGACCGTGGATGATTTCTGTTAGCAGCTAGCCTACCTGATTAGGTTCACTCAGCTTCCTTGATGCCCAGCTGAGGGTGAACCTGGGCTCCCTAAACAAGTTCACGGGGTCGTTTCCCCTGGCTCTCTCCCCTGCCCTGCGTCTGGGGCCCAATGGCAAGAGGACTGGAGGAGACAATGGTAAAGTCATAGTCAGCCTGGAGCTGCTGCACATTCTGCTCTTGGTCCCCAGTCAGCTTGTCGTCGCTGACATTCCAGCGTCCTCAGACAGCAGCCCTGTGCTTCCGGCTGGGCCTCGTGCTCCATCCAGGGGAAGTCGGGCGGGCTGCGTGGCTTACTCTGTCTTCCCCAGATCCACCCCCTTGTTAATATTCACCAAAACACCAACATGCACAAAAGAGCTTTGAAACAGCAGATGTGTACTTGATGTGACGTCAGTGCTATGTCCCCTCCCAGGGTGAGAACTCCGTGTCTGTGGATGGTAAGTGCAGTGACCCGACCCTCCTGAGCAACCTGCTGGACGAGATGAAGGTGACGCTGGCCCAGTGCTGAGGGCGCCGCCCCACCGTGTGCTGGGGTCACGTTCACGTGCAATTTAAGTTAGGTTGTCCTCCGCTGCCTGTGTGGACATCCCCGGGACAGACTTCTCATTGGTTTCTTTTATCACCTTTCAACTTTGACTCCAGGCCAGGGTCCTGGGCACCACGGGGTGGGGAGGTGGGCAGCCCCGCTCCGTCTCCACTCCTCTTGTGTTGAGCCCTGGAGGGTGGCTTTCATCAAACCAAACCCGTCCTCACTGACACTCTGAGGTGGCTGGGCCCTGGGTTCCCGGGTGAGAGCCCCACTGCTCCAGAGAAGGGCCCAGGTGCTGAGGCAGGTGGGGGCTGCCACCTGGGGTCACAGTGCAAACCTGCATGGTGGGGGAGTTCCGGTCAGAGTCACTGACTGACACGGATCGGATCTCAGGTTTTTCCTGTTCAGTGTGTCTTGTTTGCTCTGTTGTGGGGTCTCTTCTGTTCCATCACTGTCCACCCCACAAGGTGTCTTTCATTGTACCTGCAGCTGTCAGGAGGGGCCCCAAGGCAGAGGAGGGCCTGTGACTGGGCTGGGCGTGGCACTGGACACTCTGCTGGCTCGAGCCTCCCCCCGAGCTGCTGGTTCTTGATGATGTTTTAATGTGTCTTTCTGATGAAAACTGTCACTTTAGCATGTAGTATAATCTATTACAGAATCCTGTGCAGTGATTCTAGACTTTTGAAATTATATGATGTGTTACATAAGAATTTATTTGCTATCGACATTCCTGTATACAGAAGGGAGGCATATCATGCTGCTGTAATGATTTTGTGTCAAGATGATTCAATAAAATGGCAAAACAGACCTTTACACTTCGGGTTCCTGCCTGAGCCATTGTGTGCACTCTCGCCACCCTGCGCCCGCAGCTAGGATTGCTACTGTCCTTGTCCCGAGGCCAGCGTACCTCCTCGGGAACAGCCGGGCTCAGGACAAAATGGTCCTCCCTTATGCGACAGTGACTGGCTAGTGCGGCCTGGACCCCATCATGGGACAGTATGTGCGCAGGGCAGGGACAGAGGCCCAGCAGGAAAAGATGGCTCCTGCCCAGTGTTTGCTAGTCTTGTGCCATGAATGGCGCAGGAGAGGAAGTGGGAGAGGGTGGGAGGCCCCTGGTGTAACACCACAGTCTCGTTCTAAGCAAGAGAAGCCTGAGCCGCATGTGCAGAGGGCCTCTGTGTGGAGCCCTTGGCAAAATCCACACGTGGTGACAAGGCAAGAGGTTCGAGGGGCGCAGAGACCTTCTGGAACCACCAGAAGCTGGGCGAGAAGGAAGACGCCGTCCTTGGTACCCACAGGCAGCAGTCCCAGGACACCCTGAGTCTGGACTGCCAGCCCCTGCCATGGTCTGCCCGTTTGTGGGTCGTTGCTAATGTGGTGGCCCTAGGACACTCAGACCTGGGCCTGTCAGCCTCCCCGGCTGGGGCTGAGGCCCGCGACGCACCTCCCATGCAAACAAGTTCTCCATGAGAAATATCAGGGCCGTTTAATTGTTGAAGCAAAGCACTGTGAGCCCACTGGAGCCTGGGGCTACTATATACAAAAACCGTCCCAGGGGTTGGGCTGCCTGGGGACCCTGGGCATCAGCTGCTCTTGGAAGATGTGGCCGGCCCGCCGGCCCTTGCTGAGTCCTGTCCCCAGCCAGTGCCATCAGTGCTGGGTCAGACACTCGGAGGCGTTCTCCAGCGTCAGATTGGCCAGATGCGGTGGCTCCAGACATGTGAAGCTTGGGGACATCAGGCTGCAGGGGGGGCTGCCATCAGCCCCTGCGGCCCTTCCTCCATCCCACCCAAACACCCATGTGGTGGGGCTGGTGGCAAACTCACAAGGCTGGGGTCCTCCTGTGTGACGACCAGCCAGGTGGGCAGTGGGGAAGAGTAGCTCATGGTTGGTTCATGGAATGGTCACATGTTGTTCACATGGTGTCCAGCCAGGCATATCCAGCTGCAGAGGGTGTCCTCCTGTCCACTCCCTCCCCTGCTCCCCTCCCCCGCAGGCCCTCAGCCTTACCTCCTGCTGGTGTCCTGTCTGAAAGACAAGGACCCGGTCAGTCCCTGAGGGAGGGAGTCTTGGGCATGGGGCCCTGGAGAGGGCAGGGTGAGGCCCAGCCATGTACTCACCCCACTCGGGGGTGCCCCCACATACACCCCTGCTGCCTGATAGGACGGCCCATTTGAAGAAAGTAGGACTTACTTGTGCCACGTACTTCTGTAACAGCAGGGACCAGGGCCTGGGTCAGGGCCATCTGGTGTCCTCTCCCCAAGCCCAGCGGTCGCCCCAAGACCCCACTCACATATATCCCAGGAGGCCCTGCACAGCTCGCTCCCACTGTGCTGAAGACCTGTGGGGAGGGTCCAGAGGTGAGGGGCTGTCTGCGCATGCTCTCCTGGAGGGGCGCCCAGCCCAGGCCCTGGAGTCCTACTCGCAGTTGTAGCCAAAACAGACGACGTGGGAGTCAGTACAGTTGTTGCAGGAGATGGTCTCATACCGGAAGATGCCTGTGACACAGGTGGTGGCTCTGCTAGGACCCAGCCCACACAGGGAGACCTCCTGGCCCTCACAGGGAGACCACCCCTCCCACACAAGGAGACCACCTGGCCCTCACGCGTACAACATACCGCAGTGCCGCTGACAGTCGATGCGACCTGTGGAGAAAGAGGACAAGTTCCCACCTTGATCGGGTGGTTCCCTCTGAGCCCCGTGGCCCACGGCAGCTGTCCTGACCACATGGGTCTGAGCCTCAGTGTCCTGCACCCAGCTCCCAAGAGCTCGGCCCTGGAGGGCTCAGCCATACTCTTGTGTACACACACCCACACCAGGACCCCAGCACCCCCTCACTCCTCCTGCTCACTCTCAATGATGGCATTCTGGATGAGGTGCACTTGGTCCCGGAAGATGGCACGCAGCTCATTGGGAAAGTACCCTAATGGGCAAGTCAGAGGAGGGCAAAGGTAGAAGGGAAGGGGAAAAAATGACCAAGTGTGAGTGTGTGCTGGAGTGGGGAGGAGCTGGGCCCTGCCTTGATTTCCCCCTTACCTGGGAAGTACATCCTGCCTTGGTACAGTTGATCCATCCTTTGGTACACAGCGTTGGCCACTTGCTCCAGCTTCTCCCGGGCTGGGGGTGAGGCGGTGCGTGGGCGCCCTGGGGGCCTTTAATTGGGGGCTGGGGGACTGGAGGGCTCCTGGGTCTGGGATCCTGTTTTGAGGGCAGTGGGTCTGGGCCAGGGGCCCCAGGATCTGGGATTTGGATGTATGGAGTTTCCGATTCTGGCGGCTGGTGTATCCGGGCGAGCGTTCCGTAGTTAGGAACTGGGATCTGGGAGTCGGAGGTGTGGGGAGCTGGGATCTAAGGGTCCGGGGTTCTGGGATCGGAGGTCTTAAGGGGCTAAAAGGTCCGGACCTAGGGACCGGAATGTTGGGATTCCAGTGTCGGGGGGTCGGTCCGCACTCACTGATCTCCGCGGGGATGGCCAGATGCAACTCCTTCATGGTGTCCTGGCTCCAGTCGGTAAGCAGCGCGCCCGACACGGGGATGTCGCCGACCCACCAGGACTTGAGGTTCACGTGGTGGCGGTAGAAGGAGAACTTGTCCGAGAAGTTTCCTTGGCAGTGAAGGCAGCCGCTGGCCAGCGTTGCAGTCAGGCCCAGGTACAGCAGCAGGGCCATGGCCCGCCCCTGCCCGCCCCCACCCCCCCGCCGACCAACCAACGGCGCCTCCAGCGCCACGCCCCTCGGCCGCGCACCAACCTACGACGCCCGCCGCGCCCGGGCCGTGTCCCTGGCCTCGCCACACCCCCAGGCCCAACGGACAGCCCCGCCTCCTCCCGACAACTGACAACAAGACCCACAGCCGACAGGCACCGATGTCCCCGCCCCGCGCACAATCAGGCTCCTCCTTGGGCAGGCTCTGCGTCAAGCCCCGCCCCATGCGTCTGTCACTCGGCCATGGGCGCCAGCGAATGGCGTGAAGGACCGGCCCTCGGTTGCTAGGCAACAGATCACTGTGCTCGGCCATTCCTGAATGCGAATCGAGACGTCAAGGTTGCTCCCCGGGATCTCTGCTTCCAAAGCGTCCTCCATAGACCGGGGTCCCTTTTGACTCCCGCTGAAAGCGAACCTGGGAAAGCCCGGCAAAGTCTACGCTCCCCTTTCACTGGAGAAGCCTGGCCCTTTAAAGGAAATAGATCCGGCTCACACTGGCGAAGCAGGGGCGGGGCTTGTGCTCCGCCGTGTCCCTCCGCGGGGCGTGTCCCTTCGCGAGGCGCGAGCGGCGCGGCTGAGGCGTGAGCGGAGTCCAAGACTAGGTGGGTACTGTCAGCGCTCCTAACTTGGGCAGCTGGGGGCTTAGCCCGTCACTGCGGCATCCTCTAACGGCGAGGGCCCGGGGGTGGCGGCAATGGAGAGCGATTTGTCACGGGAGGGGGAGGGGGGCTCAGTCTGTTCGGACAACGACCTTGGGCATCGGAGTCCGATCCGATAGGTGGGAGATCTGAGGCCACGAGGAACTCAGTCGGTCAGAGGGGCGTCCTCGGGCGGTGGGGCACTCAGTCCATCACTGGGCGACCTGGGGCCGGGGGACTTGGCCTGAAGTGCAATAGGAGGAGGGGCTCGATCCGGCAGAGGGGCAGCCTAGGGTGGGGTGGGGGGGCTTATCCGTCTTAGGGGGGAGCCTAGGGGTGGAGTGGGGCTCTCATCCGTCTGAGGAGCAGCCGTGGGGTGGGGGGGTCCCATCCGTCTGAGGCGGAGCCTAGGGGTG